TCTCCAATGAGAACAACTACTGCAATGGAGTTATACGATGACAAACCTGAACTGGGAATTGGGCCATTAAATAGATCGTAGTTGTAGTGAAGAATGACCAAGTACGGTAAGATGATGAGAAGGAAGCTTAGCACTGTCAATGCATTTGGTGCTATCCATTTCGGATGATACTGCAAATACAGACATCACGCTGTAGCATCACTCAAACTTTGACAGTGTGATGGAGCTCTCTGCTAGCAGGACAGTATTTTCAGTGACTTGAAAGAAAAAAGTACCTCGATAAACCAATTCCAAAATGGCACGTTTATGTAATCGGTGATCGGTCCATTGCAAATCACTTTGTACTGGAAAAGAAAAGGAAATGAATAGCAAGAGATGAAGGAGGTGAAACTTCCTCACAGTGTAAGGTTCCTCTGAAACTGTTACTGACATTTCAACAAAAGGCATAGTGCAACAATGATATTGGGCCTCCGACTATTCCATGCAAACCTCTTTACTGCTCCAAATCTGTCCAGAAAATTGGAAATAAAACTTTCTTCACGATGGACAATTCGCTCCAACTGCTCATCGCTTAGATATTTCTGGCTCAAAAGAGCAAATCGCATGATTCCACTTGTAACCAATCAAAGTTCCAGTCGCAGCCTTTCCCAGTACTAACCAACTCCGCTCCTCTGCGGTCGTCACTTCACTCACTACTGTAATAGGTGAAATTACTGTATGACCACCTAGCGAATTAATTGCAGTAACCAATAAAGTGAGGCTATCCACCATTTTACTTTGCTTCTGAGATTTCTGCAATAGAATGAAAAGTGATATATGTTATTGCGGCCATATATAGGCCAACTTTGTCCCTCGAGATCTGTGCAGAATGCCTACAAGAGTGATGCTGTCCGATGCAGTGTGATTAGTTTGCGAGAAATGATACTTGGAGAGAGTACTCAGATCCTAGACCTCCTATAAAAAAGAGTTCTTTTTGTTTTTGTTCTTTTATGGGAAGACCGTGCAATTGTTTCATGGAAAGGGATGGATAAAGTTGAGTATGAGTATGAATACGAGTATGAAACATCCCACGAAGCAGAAAGATGAAGGAGACTATTGGTGAAATTGGGGAATGCCTGCCTCGATACGAAAGAATGCTATGAGGAATCTGTCATTCTTATATTTGCGCTCTCAGAAGCAGCTGGCTGCATTCAAATTAATAAGGCCTGTCTGAAGTAAGTTTCAGCTCACGAAAGAACTGCTGGTCGATGAGTGGTGATGATCAGAGTTGCTGATTGTCACATTTCTGTGCTCAGTTTGGTCACTTGAAACGTTACATTTTTGTTCCTCATCAAATTTAGAATTGTTCTGCATAAATGCCATAAACAGGCATTTTGTTTTCAGTTCTATGAAGAGATGGAAATACTGGTTTGTAACTCTAAGACTTATAACTATAAAATGCGAACTCATGAGCTTTTCTTCTCTCTCTCTCTCCCATTTGACACAATTTAAAGCTTTCAAGCTCACAAAAACACCCTTAAAAAAAATGTCAATTAGTGAAATAAGGTAAGAGACAGGAGCAAACGACCTGCAAATGTTGTGGAAGAGAATATTAAGACAGGAAAAGGTTACGGGGCAAAGAGGTGATATAAGAAGCGCCGGTAGAACCGGTTGAAAAATGATCTGAAATTATTAAATTTAGATCAAACATTCTGGTTTTTTCAGATATGGGAAAAAATTGGGCTAAAATGTAGGTGAAATTTAGGAAAGGACAACACCACAGCGGTATTTTGCTATTGACGTCGAGAAGATGAATGACTGAGAGAGAAAGGTGTCCGCAATAACTGACATCTAAACCTCACAAGGATGGTGTTTTTTCCTTTGTCTTTTGGCAAACATACTAATGACAAAGATGAAGCGTCGTCTGTTGCTGTCGAAAATGTCATCCAACACTCCACATCTGTTAGCTTTATGTCGTCCGACATACCTTCCTCAGGATTTCGCTTGTTTTTCAGGTTCATCAGTTGCAATGCAATTAATCAACCACCAAACGTCATTTCCGCTCCTCTTTGGATTCAAATTTCCCCGTTAAATGAAATTTATAATTTAAGAATAGTCTACTGATAACTAAATTTAGAAAGCATGTTGTTTCAATTTGTATTCCTTTTTAAAGATCATTTATTCGATGAAACCATGGACTTGGTGAAAAAGAACTTCTCAGAGCACCATCTTTCGTTTGTACTAATAGTCTTGTGAAGAGAGAGAAAAATAAATTTGTGCCACCGAGATTTCTTTCTTCACTTCATAACTTCGTTTAAGAAGTGTTTAAATTAGGTCATCTGTAAAGGGACTGCAACCAAATTTTTCTCGAAAAACTGCCACTCCTGACCGAAATCAGCAGAAAAGAATATGCCGAATTCACAGTACTAAATGTTATAATCACTGACAGATTTCTCATCACAATATCATTCCGGCTTTATACTTCATAATAGCACCAAAGATATTGAAATATTTTCAACTTATCATGATCAATACATACCTTCATTTTGTTAGCAAAGAATTTTGTGCTGATCAATAATCTTATGTTCTAAAATTAATAACGTAGGCATTCTTTTTTTTCCGAAATCGCATCCTGTCACCAATTATCTGAATAGTGTCGGAAAACCGAAATAACTTTATTTATATAATCAAAGTATCTTTGTTATAGAAATCCTTTGCATCACATAATCACCGTCAAATAATATGCTTTATTCAATATCTCAACTTGCTGTAAGTAATTAACTTGAAATAACTCTCTTTGTATCATCGACTTCAAGAGCAGCTAATACATTCGTCAAAAACAAGACGAGCCCTGGAAGAGTGAGCAACTCTTCACTGATTTGTAGAACACGAAAAGATGCATTTCAAAAAGAACCACTAGATTTCAAAGATGGAGTGCAATCCTACAAAAGTCGTATGCGAGATATCAACACATGGTCAAAAAAGTTACGAGATCTCAGGATCGATGAAGTGCAGATACTGACAAAGTTTCGGGATTAGAGAATAGTAAGGACGAGAGACGATTTTAGCAAAAAAACATCAATGAATGTTTGATAACGACCATGCTGATGCAGAATTTCGTCACAATCAAGATCCAAATATGTCAAAAGCGGGAAAAGCTGAAGCTCAGAAGGCAGAATGGCTTGGCGGCATCAAGTTGCTGAACTGATCGCGCTTTGAATGCTATGGAAAACTTCATGAAAATTCATAATAATGCTTCACCAGGAAGTAGGGAAGAGAATGACGATGGAAATGATAGCCAGAAATTAAATACCAAGATACGGTCACATGAAGGGAATAATGATGCTGAAAGAACGATGAATTCAAGCTTAAACTCCAAATTCTTCCTCTGAGGTTCCTGAAGACCGAAATAATTTTTAATAAATCTGTCGAAATAACAGAATAAATTGCACTACAAAGACTATTCATCAATATTTTAAATCTCTCAAAATGATTTGGGAAGAAGGGAGGGGGGAGGGGCTTAGGACTGTTGCATATAATGAAAGTTATTGTTTAATTTGTCAATGTTTTGTTCGCTTAGTTCGCTTTCTTATAATAATGCACTTTTTTCTTTTCTGACTGTAAAGTATTGGACTCACCATTTAGTCCTCTTTGTTTCCAAAAAATTATGATAATACGCTTTGCGTGTTAAATGATTGTAAAATGTTAATCTGAACATCTTTTGTTCAATAAGCTCTCTTTGTGTCCAAAAGATATATGCCTGGATTCGGTTTGGGGAACAGTGTCATCGGTATCATCAATATCAATAAAATTTTTATCCCAACAACATTCACCTGCATCATCTCAATTCTAACAATTAAACAATAACTTTTATCATATGCAACAGTCCCGATCTTTGCGTTATAATTTCATGAAAGAGACTGATAGATGTGAAATAAAGTGAAATAGACACTGATTAAGTTAACGGTTGCATGACTATGAATTCAAACAGTAATAGAGGAAGCAGCGAGAGTAATGAAAGGGTTAGCTCACATGGCACAGCTGACTGAACAGTGAAAAATGAGCTGTATTGTATGACAACAATTTTAGTTTGTATCCGTAATATCGATGCCGCAGAATTTGGTTGATTATTTCATATCTGCGTCTTCATCGTCTATCTTTGGAGCTAAATAAAATCGCAAGTGTCCATTTTCACTAAGTCCATACTCCACAACCACAGGTACGCTATTGCATAAAGAAAGACGAACCTGAAATGATAGATGTAGTAGCTTCACAGGGACAGTGCATATGAAACACAGACTATAAAAAAATTTCCGAAAAAAAAGGTTACTCTATCAGAAAGTCCTGTAGCCTTCGTGAAATGATTCATGTATTTGATGGAAAAATTGACTGTAACGGGCTCTTTTACATCCACTGATACAGCCTGTAACAAGAAGTCTTGCTGTCACTCGGATGAAAAAAACAAGATTTGTCTTTAACTTAAACTATTTCAGTAGTATATCGAAATAAAGAGCAATTATAGATATAGAAAATATAGATGAAAATACCTGTTGCTCTTCGTCGGCACTTTTTGAGGGAGCATAAGTAACTGTAGATGAGCCGGTATCACCTTTCCCGGTGAATACAATACCTGCTTTGGTTACTGTTATCATCAAAGAGTCCGAAAACATTGCCAAATCACGACAAGTTTTCTAGAGCAGAAAAATAACTTCCAGCAATAAAGAATATATAGAACAATATGTAGAAAGATTAAACTTCAAGTTATAAGCATACCATACCTGGAATTCAGCAGCTGGCATACAAACAACAGCAGAATAATCCTGTTCCGGGATGCCGAGATGCTCGCTATCGATATCCATCATTTTGACGACCACTTCCTGACTTTTGTCCTATAAGTGCAAAAATAAATGAAGAAGATAGTGTGAGAAGAGTGAGCGGAGTAAGTGAACGCACAAACAGAATAAATACCCTTTTCGTGTCCTCGAAGAGGAACAACACCGAATCATCATTTTCTTCATATCGAATCAAGCAGGTGTCTTCGTTATTGGCACATTTCAGCGCTCTCGCCATACCTGCTAAACTAAGACCGAGGTTGATGGTTCTGTCGCAACGATAGCTTTCGAACATTGCAACATCCATTTTCAGTGACACCAAAGCCACATGCGATGAATCCATTGCCTGCAAGATGTGAAATGTGACAAGGAGTGAAATCACTAGAATATCCTTACTGTGTGAGGCCTTGCACTAACCTGCAGACACATGGCAGTCTCACTGCAATCAAAGGGTGCATCTGTGACGAGATCCTTGATGGCATCCACGATTCTCTTCAACGTCGAGGCACTGCCCAGCTTCGCTTCGAACATTCTCTCGAGGTGACCAGTCGAACAAATTCACCTGCACAAACATCACTACATCACATCACCAAGCCCCCCAACCCAACCGCCCGCCCTCACTGACAACCACAACATTGCATTGGAAATTGCCGCCAGTGGACCGGCGCGCAATTTTGCCAGGACTGTCGCGCCGAGATCGGCCCACTTCGTTGCAGCCATATTGCTCACCCCACGAACGAACCCCAAGGAGAACGATCACCGATGAATTCCCAACCTCCAGAACTCTCTTCCCAAGATGATCTAGAGTAGCTCCATTGTGTGATAACCACAGACTGATCAACATCCAGTAAATGATGATCTGTTTATTTCAAACCACGAATCAGCCATAACTATGTACATATTAGGTCCGATTTTCGAGTATGTTAACCGACCACAATGCATCATTTTACATACACAGATCACTGTTTCTCGCTAACGAATCTGCTTAACATACTTAAAGTCATACAAATCGTCTTTGCTAAGACAGAATATTAGGAAGTAGTTCGGTTCTCGGAACTCCACTGTAAAATTTAATGAACTGAAACTCGTTCATGATAACAACAAGGGACAGAAAATGAAAAGGTATTATCCGGTAATCCCCGTTCAGTTAAAGCTTTTGTAAGACCGCACCGAATAGAGCCTACACTTCCATGATAATTCTCGGCATAGTTCTATACTGTTTAAAATGAGTAATCAACAACTAAGGCAGTTATTTGTGTTCATCAACCTGTCTAAGTGTAATATTGATGCGATTCGCATTTGCATATTTCACTATCTCTTCGGGCTGATTTTTATCCGCGAATTTTTCATCTTGTAGAATTCGTGGGACTGCATGGTATATGAGCCGTTGTGGCCCATAAACGACCAGGACATCACCCGACCGTATGTAAAATGCATCAATAGGATCATTTAAATCAGTACCACCAGCCAGATAAACTGCAGTCTGACCGAAACTTAGCGAAATAAGTGGTGAAGACAGCTGTCGTTCCGATCTAAAATGAACAATGTGGAAAGAATAAGGAAAAAAAAGGATATCACAGAAATGTAAGTTTTTCACAAAAACTATACTTTAGCAGCATTCGATGTGACAATATAGAAAAAAAATTAAAAAATCAATGGTGAAGATATTTTCAATCTAATCTGTATTGGGAGGAAGGCTATTCAATAAATAACCTGTCAATATGTGGCGCCAATGTTGATTTACTTGAGTAGAAGTTTATGATGGCAGCGTCAGCATACATCGGACCTACGCCAAGTGCTTTGGAGAGAATATTCGATAACGAAACCAGCTCTTCAGGAAGTGCCTCACCTGAAAACAACCAATTCTACCAACGCTATATTCCTCCTTATTTAAACAAATCATATATTCTTTCAGATCTAAGGATGCAGGGAAATGTTTACCCTCAGAAGGATAAATCTTCGTTGCCCAATCATAGTGGAGACCAAGAGTAGACCATCGCAATTGTTTCCCATATTCTTTGAATACCTATGACAGCAAATGACGATCATCGGCCTTAGTGAATGAATTCTATTGTATCATTAACAATTTCATTAGCCAAATTATTTGTTATGCCTAAATCTTCAATCAGAAATTGTCGAAAAACGTAATTTTATAATACTTAAAATTTAATGTACATAAAAAGCTTTTCTGATAAACTAGGAGTGAATGAAAAGTTTCCCAAAAACTATGTAAGAAAACTATAATATACCCATTCTCATTTAAAAGCATTTTTGGTATTAATATTTATAAAGCGTTCAAACATTTGCACTTACATTCCGAACATTGGGAACTCGTAGGCCAACATTGGTAAAAGCAGGCGGTTCAGCATAAACGAACAATGACCGTTTTATCCATTGAAGATGACTGATGGGTTTAAAAATATTATTCAACATTACCATGCCTGGACGATGAGTAAAAGTTGAAGCAGTCCATTCAGATACTGAACGAAGTCCGAGCTTTTCCAACATTACATCTGATGGTGCCACAATTGGTTCAAATTTTGAGCAAATTATTCCATGAGTAGATAAAGAACACCGCAAATTAAGAACTTCGGAAAAGTTGGGTGCTGCATCACGCCGTTTGTAAAACTTGAATGTTCGTTTAAATAAGGAATCAGAAGGTGAGCAATCAGAGCAATTGCCAGTACTTGCTACATGTTTGTTAGTTTGACTTATTGACAGTTTGTCGGATACGTTCGTCATGTTTCGTTTTATAGTATCGTAAGAGTTCACTCTTGCGCAAATCCAGTTCGTCCTGAAACCCCTGCAAATGGAAATGAAGTTAAATAAAGCAATCGCACAAATGACTTCTCATTTAATTCATTTCTTCAATATGGAATGAGTTTTTTTTTTTGAAACAGTCCCTACCAATAAATACGGCCTGAGCTGACTATATTTTTTTTCATAGCAAAACAATCGGATTTAAGTAATCGCTATATCGGAATTGTGCTATGGACAAACTATAATGTTAGTATGAATGATATATCAAACTATGGTGGGCACAAAATCACTAAAAAAATACATTTCAGAAATCCCTAAGATAGCACAGCATGAGTTGTATGTGCTAACCTGAAGTGGTTTATAGATGGTAGCCACACCATATGCTCCAATTGCTAGACCAACAATAGCAACAATAATCTTCGCAACTGCTTGTTTCGGTGTCAGTCGAAGCTGCCAATCTACCATGTCACAAATCACCTTTAAAAAACTAGAAATAATGTATCTGTCATTCTCCTTAGTGAAGAATTGATAGTGAAGATGGTATGATATTTATCATACCATCCTCACTATCAATTAACTACCAAATTGTACTACAGCAGTTACGGTTTTTTCTGCCCTATTATTTAAATGTCAGCCCAGTACCATTGCGAAGAAAAGTATCACCACCACCACTAAGACACAAATCAAGTAATTTGAATTTACCTACGACTATTGCATTCCGTAAATTTCATCTTAACAACATCTCCAAATCCCACTCTGCAAATTTCATCTTATGTACAGCAGATTGCTTTGGTTTTGTTCTACCGTGTTTTCATGTGATCATATCAATTTCAGGAAAAGTTCAAAATAGCATCGTTTATTGGTGCAAAAACCATACATTAATTATAGTAGCTTTGAACAGTTGTAGGCTTTTGTATATAAGTTACAATACCAATTGAATTTCTTCGTTTATTTCACATTGATAAGGTTTATAAGTTTATCAGTTCAAACTATCTGGTCTTAAAACCCAGCGTCTGAAAATATCACTTCAAACTAAAATTGGGTCTTTTAGAACACGCTGTAGTAATTTGTCAAAGTGGCAAAATTTTGAAATGCTTTTTTTTGAAAAGAATTTTGAAAAGAAAAAAAATTTTGAAAAGAAAAAAAAAACTTGAAATGCTAAGAAACAGGCATGTTTCGCACAAAGGTTGAAGGAAATTTGTTTAAATTAGAAAAGATCTAAAACTGTTGAAGTAAAACCGGATAAACGTAGCGTATGGAGAAGAAAAGGATAAACTGTAAAATGATCTATACTAAAATGGATCCGAACCAGTATAATATAGAACATGAATTAAAAAAAGAGATATGTTGTTTAAAATAAAACAATTCAGAAGAAGCTTATTTGTTGTTTTTGTTTTACTGTAATTATTGACTCCTTCTTCAAAAATGACAATTCTGTTAATCACTACTAGTATGTATGTAGATTGAATTTAATCATCAAAATAACAAATATGAAGAAGAAGGAATCACTTCAGTGATAACTAGAACCATTATCGCCAGGTAAATCGAAAATTGTTCGCGGCCAAGATAGAGCAATGTCATCCGTAGCAAGCGTTTCACTTTCTCTGTTTTCTAATTTTTCATCAACGCACTATAAAATCATCGTAGAGTGTCTTTGAAATTTAACAAATATCAATTGAACTAATAGCTAAATGAGCAAAAACTGAATATTTCAAACGTAAATCTGAAATTTTGAACAAAAAATCAGACTAACCATGCTCCGACAATCTGTGACCAGAAATTTAGCTCGAACTTTCTTCAATGTTAGCATTCCCTTTATCAAACGTCTCCAATTTTTCAAAGCTCTCTCCTTTCGTCTCTAGAAAGAACCAATCTTGTTTAAAAAGAAAAGAAATCCTTTGAACTTAATGCACAAACCTTATAACCTTACCTTCTCAATAGCAAGTTGCTTTTTTTCGTGAATTTCTTTCCATGCCTCACGCAGCAATTCTTCATGTTGTTTCAAAACGATGCAACCGTCTAGACTGCAAAAAATATTTAAATGTAGAAGGAAAAAAATTGACGAAATAGATGAATGCAATTTAGATCTGTTCAACACTAACATAGGGTGATTCCCCCCTTTATGAAATTCCCATCCGATCACTGCAGGCACGCAATCAATATCGAGCTGCCGAGAAATAGCGGGAAGTCCATTTAGCCGTAGATGAACACAACCTTCTGGTATCATACTGCTTTTGTAAACATATAAATTACCAAACTCATTTCGTGGTATACGTTCCTGAAATGTAATCCTTCAGTTTAACAAACTACTGGAAAAGAAGTGAATGTAACTATCATGAAAGACTATAGAATAAGCAGAGAACAAAAAGATTAAAGTCCCTCACATTAACGACCTTAGGTGGTACATATGGTTCAGTCTGCCAGTATCCGTATAGTTCCAAGGATCGTGATTCTTTTAGTTCCGATACTATGCGACGATTCGTTCTCCCCTTAACGATTTTATACGGCTTTTCACCGGCCTATAAATTGCTTTCATCCAAACATATATACAAAGAGAATGTAACATCAAAATTTTTCTTTTACTACAAAATATCTTCCCAAATAAAACATCAAGGGTTTTTCCAATAAAAAAACTATTCTAATAACTGAGGTGCACCTTAACCATACGTGCATGTTTCATCCAATTCAATGCACCGTCAAGGTGAAACACAGAACTTCGCGGATAAATATCAAAACCTCGAATTTGTCCAATAGGAGCCTGATCTTCCGGATAAATTGCTTCATATTTCAGAATATCTTTCTTCAGTACATATCTGGAAGTAGAAAGTTTCAATTACGAAAAAAATCTACAGGAAATTATCTTACAGTGGATGATTCTTGTATTCGGCAACCGTTGCTGGTTTTGGTTTTGAGAGGAGTTCGTTATGCATTGCAACATCTTCAATGCGTTCACGTTTCCGATTCTTGCTCCGATATATCTGTAAACCAATTAAAAAAGTTAACAATATAAAAGTCAAAAGAACCGCATGAAATACAGCCAAGTCAGCTGACTTTTAATGTATCAGTCCACCATGAAGAATCAACTCGAAGTCGTCGTGTTTCAGCTGATAGAAATTTTGAAGCATATCGTGCTGTTACGTCGCGCATACCCATATCTGCATCAATTAAAAATCATAAAACCGTTTAAACGAAAAGAATACAGCTCATATGCATAATAATCGTAATCTAATCTGAATAATTATTCATAATAGAAACTTACTATTATCAATGCTAATAACATAATGCATAGGTACAGTGGCATTAACTTCCAAGCTCTCAGGCATATCGACAGTTCCACACCACGGGTCCATGCCTAAATAAAATGTAAATTAATGCCTCCAAAAAGGTATGAAAATATGACAACAATTCAACAAAAATAATCTAGCTCTAAGATAATGAGGATTGATTTCGAAAATTCGTACATGAAATTTCACAAGTAGCAAAGTCAGCGAGACCAGTCAGATATAAGGATTACATCTCGGTGTTGCTCCTACATTAAATATGTCCATTTCAATTACATCATTGATTTATAGAGCCTAACCGCTAAAGAGTAGGCAATAGACATGCTTCACTCATTCAGTGTGAATATAGACATCCAATATTACGTATAGGCATCTTGTATTTCAAGGATAATTTACACTTAAGTTTTGCTAATTAAATAAGCAGTTTCGCAAGAAAACTTACAAATCCATCTAGAATTATTATGATCCCAGTATTCCACCCAGTAATTTCTTCCTGAATCTATCTTCCACTTGTTCATAGATGTAATTTGATCGGAATTATTTCTACCGCTTCCTTTCAATTTCTTTATATTTGGCTTTTTCGTCTCCTCGCACTTTTTTATGTTGTTATCTTCGCTGCAAGCATCTATTTTCATTTCCACCTTCTTCGTTACTTCATATAGTTTCTTTTCCCATACCACTGAATTGTCGTCGTTATCGATATTCGCTTTAACGAAGATCTCAGTATGCTCAGAGCGTAACATATTCATTGTCTAAACAAAACGATTGTTCCATGGATATTTCCATTAATACAGCAGTGAGATGCATAACTTTCTATTAATTTATTTTTCAAAACCATTTAAATTGTTCCCATTTACATTAATTTATTTTAAGTGAATGCTTGAAATAATTATTTGACATACCAGTTTCTGTCTTATAGGCTGACATGAAAGACACAATCGGCAGCATTGCTTCAACGACAAGAGACACAAGAAAAGTAGCTGAAAGAATAAAAATATGGCGAAATGGGACAAAGATCACCCAACTATAGCGCATTATATTTGAAAAGCTTACCGATGCCAAGTCTTTATCATCTTCGTAGCCACGTTCGCCAATTAAATCTTCTAATCTTTTCATCTAAATTTATAATTTAACTGAACAAGAAACTTGGCAAAAACATTAGGAAAATATTACAAACTTCATCGATCGCATAGGCTTCGTCGATAAGGTGGACATCATTAAGTATATGTATATATATGAATATGAATATTTACTTGAAAATCGCAAAAGCCATTTTTCGAGATGTGTTTCCCCTTAATAAGTTGGAAGGTTGATCGGAACCATTTCATAAATCTCTCGGCTACTGCCACATCGAATTCATGTTTCGCTGCAGTTATATAACCTTCCGGTATCAGTGACAGGCACAGCGATGTTAATGCCTCATGTCGTATTAAGGCGCGCGTCCACATGCGTAAATGTGCAATGTAACAGAGAAGATGAATCTGAATTTAACTAAGAAACTTTTGCAAGCAACGATACGTTAGGTATCATCAATTCTTTTAAATATTTTATTAAGTTCAAGAAATAACGCGAAACATTGTCTCCAGAAGGACCGAGCATGAGTAGCTGACTATGTCACATCTTCATCTTCTATTAAAATACTTTGAGTTACAGTCAACGATAATTAAGCAAAATTTGCATATTTTTTTTGGGAGACAGTGCTGGTTTTTATATCGGCAATGATATAGCTTAATTTTAGACCAACCTTATGACAATTAATTTGCCGATCACGAATTTTACGATTGACTTGCTGTCTAATAAATCTCGCCCATTTGCTTTCTTCTGTTTCGACAGGTTTCGCAGCTCTAATTGTAACTTCGACCGTACCATCATGTTCCTGGTCAACACAATCAACTTCTTCCCATTCATCCTCCGAAACATTCGAATCAGCACTATCATCCGAACTAACGCTGATTTTACGTTTCCGCCTCTTCCTTTCTTTAAACGATTTAGCAGCATCTTCTTTAGACTTCGAATTTTCTGAAAAATAGCTTGACCTAAAGTTGTTGGAAAGAAAGAGAGGAGGAGAAAATATGGGTGATAAAAGTACATTTTTAATGATTCTATTGAAAGCATATTCTATTTCTTTCAGGTCAATGCAACAGGACCCATTCTATTCAAGCCGCTGTGATGTTAGGGCTAATACTGTGAAACTCATTCTCTATAGCATTACCTTGCCCCGAACAAGTATGATTCCTGTCACTCGTGCTAAAGTCCATCTCCTTCCTGCATTCCTTCACAACCAATTTTGATTTGCACTGCAGTCTACTGCTCCTGCGGTTAGTGACACCCTCCATCCCTCAACAGCGCAAATTAATCGTCTGCACTTCGTACGATTTTTTTACCTGCCAGGAAGAGATATCTTCGACATCTTCTTACTTGCCAGGGAAGGGTGTGACACACTTCTGAGAACATGTAACATCAATGGTGGGAAAAAAGAGTAAACAACTGGAGACATTATTTCTTGAAAATCGAACCTGAAATCCCGAATAGGACCCACCTCCCTTAAACTTCGCATAAAGTAGCGTTCGTCACCTGTCGATGAAATTTCAAAGTGGTGTGTTTAGCACCTGTTCATGTGGCGATTGGAGTTATTTAAGACGAAGGGAACAGATTTCTGTTTGCTGATTGCCAACTTTGAAGTATCATTACTACTGCGATGATGCATACGCTTCGGTGATAAGAATAACAGTATGGCCAGTTGACACCTGCCATCTTTTAACAGGACAATCGATGAATATCACTTATGTTGTGCGATAGTTTCAAATTTTCTCAACTTTATTCAACAATTAAGGCACTATGCAAAATGACAAAAAAATGTGCCACTGAACTGATCGGCACAGATGATACGGAAATAGTTACAGAAAGAATCTTAATCACAATTAAGCCGGTTACTGAATTTCGAAGAGATTATAGAATTTCTGAGATTCAAAAAGGACGAAATCCTTCCCGCTCGGCTACTTGAGAAGCAAATCCTTGTATAAGTTCTATTAATTGTAAGCTGCAGACGAATGAAGAAGTTATTCAATCGAAGCACAAGTTCAACGACTGTTCGTTTTGACCTTCAGGGTTCTTTACCACACATTTATACCTGAACGAGGCTGTTTCATTTATCTACTTGTTTTTCCAACAAACAGCATCAGACTATTATTGTTTGCTGCTCATTTGTTTAATTAAGTAATGTTCATCACTCAGAATATTACTTACCAAAATCTATTTATTAATGAAATTTATTGCGTTAATTAGTTATCTAGTTAGTAGCAAAACCGCCATAAACTGTTAAGTGACGGTCTGAAAATAACCTACTTGGCCTGATCTTCCTTTACTGGACCGTGTATTTCCAGTAAGAACTGAAAGCCCTCTTTGTCTTTGTCATCTTTTTTTGCCACCATTTTTATTCGATCGGTCGCTTTCAATGGCTTATCATCCTAAAAATATGAATCAATAGACCGGAATTCATGATCATATTCATAAAAATTTATAATGGATAGAGGGTGGAAGAAACGGCGATGCCTGGTATGAAAAGCAGCATATATGAATTAGTGCATTTTCATGGCTGTTGGAGATGAAGAAAGTATGAATATGGATATCCTCTTTTCCTCAAACTACTTCATTTTTGTCATTGTTTTTTGTTTGATGAATGTGAAGGGCGAAGATCTCTAAATTTTCATCGGTGACTTTGGAATGAACTGCGAATATATTTTTTTGGATGATTTAAAGTAAAATACCTTGAACCATTCAGCTGTCATTTCCAGATGTGATTTTGCTCGGACCTTAATCACAATAATATTACCGCCGTCACGCTGTACTATATGGGGCTTATCGTGAAATTCTGGTGCATCTGAAAGAAAAAAGCATTTCCTTAAGGTAATCATTTTCATTGCAAAACAGTGGTTTGCCACAGTTTTCATCGGAATATTATGAGCTTGCTTATTATTCCTTCCAGCGATGTATTTTAATCATTATCATGCTGTTGTGTACAATATATCATCATTTCTACTTCGTTGGAGTATATGGAGTATATGGGCGGAAAAGACTAATTATTACTGCAAACAATATAAAACCTGCTGTAATGGAACTTTAGTGGAATAGCTACTAATCGGCAGCTATCAATTTGATAACTACTCTTTCTAAATAAATGACCCACTTAATTCTTTATAAGACACAAACTTACAACTTCACTATTAACAATTTTCCCACTTAATACCAGAAAAGCATAATTAAGGAATAACTAGACATGAATTAAGCAAGTAATACTTACTTCCGGCTCTTACAGTAAACGTAGCACTATTTTCACCATCGTTGCTGTAGAATTTCACCTTGTATGAGCCCGCAAGTTCCTTATCGAAATTCTTGATAAAAATAAATAATCTTATAAATACGATATTTTCAAGTGGGTAAGCAACTTAGATAACTGGATACTGCAGTTCTCACGAAATAACTGCCATGATTTATTGATCATCTTTGGCACATTTTAATTTTAAAACATCAAAGAAATGCAAATATAGACTAGCACGCAAACTGTATTAATATAATGACAGTATTCTACAACTAAGGAAGTCTCATAACTAGCCAATATAAGATTTAAGAATGCTTGGACAGAAGCCAATAGCCGCTGCCTTATAGCAAATATCATTTCCAGATGAGTTGGTAATACCATATCAGTTTGTCATTCTAATGTAATGATTGATGTGGTACCAAAAGTGCTAATGCAATAATCAAATTAGTAGCAGCCGTTCTGTGATATCCACATGGCCATTCCTATTTCGATCGTGGAACCAAACGACTTGCTCACCTTAATTTCACATTTTAACAAAGTTCTCTTGCCACCTTCATCATGCTGTGAAAAAACGTATGTTTCGGTTGGCTCAATTTCTTTTTCACCCAAAAGCCACTTTGTCTTCTCGGGTAAAATACCTAAAAAGTAGTAAAGAAATGAAGGAAGTAAGCTACTTTATCCGAAGAAGCGAATAAACAAAGGACACCAACCGGATACGACCACTTGTAAACGAACAGTGTTTGTTTTAGTGTCTTGTACAATTTTCGGTTCTCCATGTATTATTGGCGGCGCCATTCGGTGGAACCTGTAAATATTCCACAACTAAATTATTTTATATCGTCATGAATAAAATGAAATGAGAAATGGATGAATGATAATGAATGGAGACACCTTTCCCGAAGTGATCGAGAAGCGAAGCAGTGAAGAGTGTACTCTCATCAGTGCTAATAAGAGAGCAGCTTCAGCAACAGATTTTTTCTTCCATGAGGAAGTTAACAACTGACGACATCTGATCCACCACTTCCCCTAGTCTACACTAACCTAAATCACAATCGCATCCCTCTTTCCACACATTCCCACACCAAAACCACATCACACTCAACACCCTATCCCGTACTCTCACTTCAATTACACTTATGAAAAGAAATGAAGGGCCAAAAGATGAGAGCCGCAAGTGAGACTGAAAACATACTGATCCGAAAACTTCAATCGTTCTATCATTTATCATCTCTTCCTTCTTTCTAGTTTGACTAACCCAAAGTTTTCTTCTGTCGTTAGCATATTCCACCCACTCAGTTATTTACAAAAATCGAAATAGAGTGACTTGCTCAGGATGCAGTAGGTGAAGGCCTGGAGTGCCTTTGGTCTACAAAGCAGGAAGGGGAGATGCCAAAAACCTCCACACAACACAAAACGATGACAACAATAACAAAGAATGAAAAATGAAAAACAAGTAAAGGAGGCGCTGCTTACTACAACAACAATGGTAAACAACAATCCATAAGAGAAAACGAATTGGTTAAGGAATAACTCTGCTCCTCAAAATCAATAGAAATCATGTGCATAAGAAATAAATAAACTTCCAGTAGCCAAAAAACTAACAGATCTCAAGGCTCTAATCGTTTTCCATCATTAACCACAAAATCCACTGTACAGATTCGAAGAAATAATCCATTAACATTACTCCCGTAGTGATCGAAATCCTACTGTAGAATAGGCGGAGCCTTTGGCAACACTGCCAAAATGTACTCACCACTCTCGATAAATAGGCTAACAAATCCCACAAAAAATAAGCAAAACGATTAAAAATAAAAAATATAAAAATCCCCAATACATAAAAACACTCCTTGTAATCCCATTTCGAACATTAGCTCATAGCAAAACAAGACTACTAACACCCAAAAAATCAAAGTTGAACAACTTCATTAAAAATAAACATCCCCGCTCAAAACAAATGTCACCCCCATACAAATAGACAGAAAGACCGTAAAAGAAACTAATCACACACAAAAAAATTTCAAAATTACAAGTAAAAACAACCCCAAAAAAGTCACCATTCATCACAAAACAAAAAAGACGACATTTAAGAAAATAAAAAACAACAACATACCAAACAAACAGCAAAGACGGCCAAACTTTCTCTTTGTTGAAAATAAAAAATTCCAAATAAACTAAAGGACGATAAACAACACTAGAAACACACCAAATCTTTCAAAAAAACGAAAATCCGAATATCCCAAAAATCTAATTTCAAAACTTGAACAATTCAGCCAAATTTAAAAATGAGAAGATCTGAAAAGTTTTGAAAACTTAGAAAAATGAATCCGACAATCTGCAATCGTACGTATTCAAGACCTAAGAATCAAACAAACTTACAATAACACCATATCAAACGACAAAAAAAGGGAAACACACAATAAAATCACCCTGAATTGAATAAAATAACCAATAGAAAAAAGAACTGCACGCACTTTCTTCCCAGTATTGCCCGTATTTATAATAATTAAACTTTTTAATTCTTATAAGCAAAAATCAAAGGAATGAAACACAACAAAAGGAACCAAAAAAGAAAAAGACGAATTTAAAGAGAGAAGAAATAAAAAATCCATGAGTATATATTTCCATAATTTTCTTTTCGTACCAGCCTTAATAAAAACAAAAAAGAGAAGATAAACTGCCTTGTCTCATGACGCACTAAACCAATGTGAAGTTTAATTTTTATACAAGAAGAGTAATTTCTGGTTTAGCTGACTAAGTGAAAGTAATTGTTCATGCAACAAGAATAAATTCAGCCCCTGAGAAAAAAATGAGCCGTTCAAATGACGGGCGTGAAGTATCCGCACTTGCAGCCAGAAATGATGTCATCTCAAAATACACTTACTGTCATATCCACTGTGTTGGACAGTATAAATACATCTTATTTCAAACACATTTCAACTGAACTTTTTCCAATGACCATAATTTTACCAGCAGGGGAATTATCTTCCATACTTCTCAAGCATTGAAGAGACGAGAAAATAAACCTAAGAAACATACACAAACACATATGCACTTCATTCATGCGTTTTAAAACGAGAAGAACTTAATGGTAGCAGCTAACAGGCTTCTTGCAATCTAGAATCGACCAGCCAAACATATTAAAGGAGGAATGAGCCGGGCTTTTCTTGCTCTGTAGGGAATAGCTACGACAGACAATGTTTTCATCTTTGCTATCACAAAACCGAAAACTTTCAAATGTTTTTTTCTGAGTGAGAATTGGTTAAGTAATCAGTTAGATAGATAGACAGACAAAAGCAACTAGGCAAACAAAGATGAAAAGATTTGAACACATCCCAATGGCGAGAACTAAGGGATAGAGTGCGGTTTTGAATTTTTTTAACTAATTATACTTAAACACTACTCGCCATATGAAAAACTCACCATTCAATCCCTCATCGATAGCGCCGATAATTTCGGGAATTGTTAAAGATGAGTCTGGTGAAGGGAAAATTGTTGAGTTTCTGAGACTGATTGATGGAGGTCAGGATCTACATCGCAATCTAGTGGTCCAACAGAAGTTTGGAATGTCAGGATCTGGAATGTTCTAATATTTCTTTCCGAATCATTCTCTGTTTCAGGATTCATAATGTTGCATTTAAAAACAACATGTGTTATGAATTCATTTATCAAATCATTTAAATTCATATAAAACAAAATGAATTTATCAATAAGCCAATAGAATGTGAAATAAGAGTGGCCATTACAACGACAAGGATACTTCTTTTCATTGTCATATTGCATAATGCTAAAAATGATAACATTTAACATTTATTGAAAAAGCACATTTCCAAGTATTAAACGAGAGTTAAGTGTAACAAGTGAGCAACCACGTACCTCGTTGTGTTTGCACATGAGATATGAATATGAACATTTCGGTGAGTATTCTATAGGACCACAGGAAATGTAAATGCCATATAATTGAAAGAACAGCAAAGACGTTTCCTGAGACAACATATGAAATATTAATTTATTTCGTGTCCGAACCAAACATGTATATTCGCCTCTATATAAGCAATAAATATGTCCATCTCTTTACTAATTACTAATTGCCGGATGCACTGGTCAATGCCACATGTATTTGGAATGCTCTTAATGTCACCCAGTTATGATCATAGGGATTTTAGTCATACAGAATATTATGTAACAAACCATAGGATCCAAAGCAAAACATCTGTAACGCTTTGTTGACAGAAAGTTTTGCGCAAATGTGAGGCGACATCAGTGCCAACACAATCATAAATGATACCATCTCCAACAAACTTTGCAATAAACACTCGTAAAACTTCCATTCCAAGTCATAAACGTTCTCATTACCAGACATTATTTGTCGTCTTATCCATTTGCTGTAGGCATTGCATAGCATAAAAATAATGCACAACTTGTGACAGTACTGCAAATAAGCTACGCAGTGCCAGAAGAGGAAAACATTTCGTAGTTTTGTGTGTGGGCTTTCCTACCACTTCAGTCGAGTTTGTAAGTTATTCCACCGTCACAATTTTGCCACTCTGAGGGGTTTTCGATTGAAATAATAGGGGATGGATGTAATTTACATTGTTGCATGTTAACGCTCGACGACTGCACCTAAAGGAACAGAACACCAATGATGTCCCAAAGATCTTCCTATCGCGACATAGAATGCCATCCCTCGTTAGTAGTAATTTAAAAGAGAGATAGTTAGCAGTGAAAAGGGACAGAACTGGGTTCTAAAGAAAATAAAAGATACGCGGTTGCTAGTATTCATCAGGAAATGTCGATAGGCTTCAATGTATTGCAGCATGAGATCGATTACTACCAAGACAGTATCATACTCGATATACGCGTCCACAGCTTTGCCGCAGTTAAACTGAAATTGAGGCCAATGGAAATGCATACTACGCTCATCTATACATAAAGTAGCAGCCATTACTGGGACCTCCAATTTCAGCGCCTTATTCAGCCGACATGAGGAGAATGAGAGGACAACATACACATGAAGTGAGTCGAATACCGTTGTCGCTGTACTTCACGAACAGACTCGATGACGGGTGGCAGCAATTGATGCAGACATACTCATTCTCGGCTGTTACCATTCTTCTTGTCTCCTCCACTTCCCTCCTGAAATTTGGCACGTCACCGATTAGCGTAAAATGAACGCCAAACTCATCGCCGTCACCTTACCATCACAGACATTTGTTTCATGAGTAGTTGCATGCCACGGAAGCACTTCCCATTCACTTGCTGCTGCTGCTGCTGCTGGAGCTGAGTACCAGCGGGCGGAGGAGCCTTAGGGCCACGGGTCGATGGTCCCTGGGAGACTGTGGTGGATGTGGTGCTGCGGATGCAGAGGTAGTAGTTCATCTGCATTTTTCGGATTAGGGGAAAACGGATGCATTTTGTGCATTGTTACTAGGAAATGAGAATGTGTGAGAAGCAAAGAAACTTGAGATAACTCGGAAAGATTTTTTTTGTTGCTCGAAGTTAAACTCAAACTTTCGAAGTACAGGCAGAAAAGGAAATTCGGGTGGTTAGGGCACAAGTTAGTTTCAATAATATGTGACAATTAATTTTGGTATGCTTTGATAATGCAGTTATAGCTGGGAAGAATGAATTGTTATCAATAAGGAGATGACAGAATATTGGCGACATGTGTGGCAGAGCAGTGAAGTTTTGGGTAGGTTATCTTCATTGTTGGATAAGCAGTTGATTTATTCCATTCTCAGGTCACTATCTCTGAGGGATTTCCTAATTCGCTTTGGCATACTTCCAGTTTGTAATTCAGGGAATTAAGGTTGTCGTTTCATCTGTGAAGTGTACAATTATCTCAATCTATATATAAATTGGTATTGATTTCTACTTTATGGAGTGTTCTCTCTAATTCATCTTTATAAAGTCCCTGCTAAAATTTATTCTCCAACAGTTGCTATATCACACAATCTGTAGACATACATACGCATCTTATATACAAATTCTAAATCGTTACACGTATTTAATACATACTTGTTCTAAATTCCTTCCCAAAACGCCGATCATTTAACTCACCGATGAAATTATTCTAGCTGTGAAAAAATCAAATCTGTAGACATGTTCTTTAACACGAATCTGTTTAACTCTCTCGGCTTCTACTACTTTTGTTGCAAAAGACAAAAAAGAAGATAATGAATATTTTGTTGCATTACTTTTACGAAATGTTTTATGTTTGTGCGCTTTTCAAAAGACGCTAAGCAAATTGAAGAGGAGAACAATATCAAGGCTTTTATTTTCTGAAACATAACTGTTTTCTTATCCGAAACACAAAGCTGAAACGGTTGATTCTTCTGCACCTCTGATCTTACTATTGCCATTTTTTCCCATCTTGTTTCAAATTGGTAAACAAGCTTAAAATATTACCTTGGTTTGGTAGCTATGCGCTTAATTTCCCATAAAGACTATGCGCCCTCTTAATGGAAGGGATCAATACACAAGATGCAGTTTTTTTCAGTCTTTGATTTATAGATGTACACAAATCCAAATAATTCAGATAACAAAAATTTCTACGCTAATTCTTGGTATAGTAGATGTTTTATTTACCAGTATTGTAACTAAGTATGAAATATTACAAGAGAAATTAACCACTTAGCTAAGTAGACTGTATTTTCAAGAGATGTAACCACACTGTAAAAGCAATGATGCAGGTGATTATGTCTCTGCAAATCATCACCTATTCGAAGGACGAGTAATTCTTGAACTGGGCGCCGGTTGCACTGGAATACCGGGATTGGTTGCTGCGAAATGTGGAGCCAAATTGGTTATTTTTACGGATCATCCTGAAAGCGGAGAAGTGAGTATATTTATAATATATTTTTAAGATTTGTATTTTGAGGAGCAGCTAACGGTGCCTCGATAATTTCCGCAGATTATATTGCTCCAAAAACTATCCAGAAATCGGAGGAGTACGGGACAGTCAAGTTATCTTCAGTCATATGAATTTAAAGCAATTTGATTTCTAATTTGGAGAGAAGTTCATGTAAAGTCAGCTTCATAATTTTTAAGTTTTGAATTCACTTTGTTTCCTTTTGTAATTAATTTGATTAATGTAAGAATCCTTATGCATTTGTATTTCAGGCTTTCGAAATTTTGAAGCAAAACTGCATCGAGAATGACCTGGACGAGAATTCTTTCTTAATCAGAGTAAGCAACTATATTATAGAAGTGGATTGAATAAATCTATTGAAATGAATAAACTATACAATTGTTTACACAACCCATTTATGAAAATGTTATAATCTAACTTGCCAACATCAGTATCACTGTTGTTGGCAAGTTAGATTATTTTTTTGTCAAATCGAACTTTTTTTTCTTTGTTTTCTTGAAACATTGGAAGCATCACATTTCCTTTGGCACCTTTGCAATCTTATTTATCACATATAATGTATCAGTGCTAAAATACTTTCTTCCGTCATATTGCCATAGTAAAATGATCAGATTTAATTAATTTTGAAAAATCTTTTGTTAAATTTGGAAGGATTGTTACTGCACGTTATGTTTTTCTTATTTACATGATGTTTTTAAGCTTTGGATGTGTTTGCTATTGCTCTGTTTGTATCCTTAATTCTTCCGGTGAATTGTGTTCATTTATATGCATGTAAAATGTTCAATGTTTTTTTCTAGGATTTAGATTGGAATGGATCAAATCTTAATCAGGTTCTGGATGATATATTCGTGTTGCATTACATTTTAGCAGCAGATATCTTCTACGATATTACGGTATTTGGGGCGCTTATAAACACTATTGCATCATTATTACGACGGTATCCTAAAGCAGCATGCATATTTGCTTATGAAGAGAGAAAGTATCGGTGTTATTTCTTTCTTTCTTAATTTATCCTTTTTTATATTTGCTTGCCTGATAAGTCTTAGCAGATGGGAGATGTAGCTATTTAATTTTCAAAAGTTAAATCATTTTTTGCTGATAAAATAGAGGTGTTGTAAAACTTGTAATGTATACACTTTTGTTTCCTTGTTATTGTGAAGCATAATTTTTTCAGTAGTAATTGGTCGATCGAGGATTTGCTTCTGCTAAAGGAATTATGCTGTAGACGAGTGCGAGTCATTGATACCGATCTTCATACAATTCATATTGGAATTATTTTCACTAGGGCAGGTAAATTTAGTCCGATTGGATTGACAGCTGATTTTTCGTGCTGTAGATTATGTTAGTTTTTTTCAACAACATTCTTAATAATAGCGATCAATTTATCAGGTGAAATTGCCTCTCGCAGATTTTTTATATTTAAATTATGATTGGATCTAGTTTAGTGCAACACAACAATTTTTATCAGTTTTTATCCAAATTGAATCTAGGAGTTTGATTTTTGCGAATTCAAAATGCATCTGTTTGAATTTGCGAAAATCAAACTCGCAGTACTACTCAGCGGTAACAGAAATTACTAGCAAGCCCTACTAATCACTGCAGCACCACTCACTCTCTCTCCTACACCATAACAGTGTACAATAATAACATGAAATGCGTTGCAGCATTCATGAACGAGTCGCATAGGCAAGCATGAAATGACATAATGAAAAATTTTGAAAAATGCTTGGTTTGATTCAACAGTGTTTCTTGTACTGTCGACCGAATTGAGCATATTTCATCAACCTATTTTTTATGTCTCACTGGTGCTAAATGGGTACAAGTAGCAAAAAGATCGTCACTTTTATTTAGAAAGGCAAAAATTTTTCTGATTCCCATTTGTCACTTTGTAAGAAAATATTATTTTTTCTCTCTCTACCTCACATGAAACTTTTGGACTATTGTGCTAAATAAATTGAGAATCTGGGACTTTGACATGGAGTTATGATTCATGTAGGGTATAGATCATTTTGTTGTTGTAGTTTGTTGTAAATCGACATGTGAAATGATGTCTTGTAAATCATGAAAAGATAATTGTATGATAGATATAACTATTAAAGTATGTTATGTAGTAAAAAGATTTGGCACATTTTCATATTGTTATTATATTGTCGGATAAGAACAAAAATAAAAGAATTGCACGACAGGAGTGTGATTTCGTAGCTGTCGATGAGAGATGATAAATGATAAGTGAAAGGATATGATAAAATTTGGAGGGTTGAATGTCCTAAGAACTTTGAGATCGTGTGTCGTGTTGTTGTGAAAATATAGAACAAATGAGTAATGCTACAGAGATAACTTTGAAGGCTGGATAATGATTATTTCAGATTTTATGGAAGCGTCGAGAATATTCGCTGGAGTCGAAGGGTATTTTTTTTTAATTAGCTTGTTAGGTGGGTTGGATATGGATATATTGTTCTGCCTGTTTGTCATCGAAATTTCAAAGTTGCTGTCCTGCACATTTTCGATGATAAATTCCAGTGGTGCAACGCAATCTCGACTTCTTTTTATTGATGAGACTGGCAAGCGATATGGTGAATGGAGTCAATCTGGCCTGAATTACTGCCTTGATGGGTTCGATGTGGTTGCTGACAGAATAGCAAAATGGATTCAAATAGCTAAAAAAGAAGTTGGGATCATTGGTCCCCTTGCGGCTGTGGTAATGATTTCGTTGGGTTGTCTTAGGCTTTTTGCACTGTTGATAAATTTTTCTAACAAAAGTTTTTTAGGTTAATTGAGGTTTCTCTGCATTAATCTGAGGCAACAACATGGAAAGATGAGTAAACATTTTTTTGGCGATTGCAAGTTTCAATTTTTAATCACATTAAGGGAATGGGCCTTTCGGGAGCTGAAGATGAAGAAAGCAATCGAAGACTAATTGATTTTTTAAAAGATCAACACGGTGACATTGCTCTTGAATTTTCGCTGTCTTCAGATGCTGTTGTTTCGGTTGCTGCATCATTCCAAAACGGTGAGGAAACTGGAGACCACCCAAATTCCTTACTGGGTTTGAAGTTTTGATATGTCACATAACATCATTTTGCTCTCCTAGAATGGGATAGAATATATCTATAGGTGGTGCAGTAATTGTCGCAGGAACTGGTTCAGCTTGTCGATTATTAAAGGCCGACAACAGCGTTTATGGTGTTGGCGGTTGGGGACATCAAATTGGTGATGGTGGTAGTGCGTTTTGGATTGCAAAGAGGTACTATGCTAGTTATGCAATGAGATTTCTTGCTTTTATAGTTCGAATTTTTCAAATTTACTGTTTTTATTGGATTTGAGTATTTTGAAATTTACCAACTATTTAGAACAAAGATTAAAGGTTAATCCAATGTATATTTGACGAAGAAGATGGACTTCGTCCGTCGCCTCATCCGATTTCAAAAATAAAACGATTGTTTGTGGAATTTTTTGGTCTCCGTGACAAGACAGGCATTTTGGAGATTTTATATACTAATTTCGATAAATCCAGGATAGCATCCTTTACTGCTCACGTAGCTAAAGGTTTCTTTAAAGAGTTCTCTTCTGCGGTCTACTTTGAGGCATTTTTATCTGTGATTTAACAATTGCCTGTCAAGACTTTTGGGACCAGATTTTGTGGAAGTTAAAATTTATATTTTTCAGAAGCAAATGATGATCCTCTTATTCGACATATTTTTCGCGATGCTGGCGAGCAGCTTGGCTTACATGTACGAGCCATTTCAAGAAATTTCGATGAGGTTGATGAATTTCAAATCTTGGTCTGATCCAGAATTTATCAAGTAGTAGACTGGCTAATCTTCTGTTCAGTAATCATTCTTTCTTACAGGAAATGCTCGACAACACCCCGCTTCTGTTGATTGGTTCCGTATGGCGAAGTTGGGAATTGCTAAAGAATGGTAAGATTTATCTGATTGATAAAATTATCACCCTGTTTTCACATATATCCAAGAAGGGCTTTCAAAAAGAGCTAAAACGAGGTCCGTGTGATCTTTTTCCCTGGTTCATATTGTGTTTTTGTAGGTTTTATATATGGACTCAAAAGTAATGGCAGTCGGATTAGACAGGTAACACTTTACACCCTTCTGGAAACACCTGCTTTAGGAGGTGCCCTTTTGGTAGCCAAAAAACTTGGTAAAAAAATAGCCTGCGAGCAGAGAACTGCTATATTCGAGGTCCTTAACTTATGATATTTCTGTAGCATTTCTCTTTTATAATCATAATCACTTTGCGTATGCAGTTATTATGTGCTGGTATCTTTATAGCTTTTAGAAGTTGTGAGACTATTTAAAGGACTAATGAATATAATGTAATTTTGGTTCGAATATGCTTCGAATCCTATATCTTTTTTATATGCTATTGTGTTGCTTTGTAAAGAAAAGCATGCATTTATGGAAACAGAATTACATTATCTGGGTATATATAT